AAATTTAATAAACTTTATTGTTCAGATATTACAATTGTTTCTTCTTTTTCCCCTTATAACTCCCCTCCACCCGGTTCCCATCCCACCCTCTGCCCTTACTTTCCCCCTACTGTCCTCATCCAAAGGTGTACGATTTTTGTCCAGTCTTTTTCTGCACCCCCATACCCTTTTCCCCTGAGAAGTATCAGACCACTCCCTTTCTATGCCCCTGATTCTATTATATTCACCAGTTTATTCTGTTCCTCAGATTGTTAATTTACTTGATTTTTAGGTTCCCTTGTTGATAGATATGTATTTGTTGTTCATAATTTTTATCTTTACTTTTTTCTTCTTCCTCTTCTTAAAGAATACCTTTCAGCATTTCATATAATATTGGTTTGATGGTGATGAACTCCTTTAGCTTTTTCTTATCATCTGTGAAGCTCTTTATCTGACCTTCCATCCTGAATGATAATTTTGCTGGGTAGAGTAATCTTGGTTGTAGGGTCTTACTATTCATCACTTTGAATATTTCTTGCCACTCCCATCTGGCCTGCATAGTTTCTGTTGAGAAATCAGCTGACAATCGTATGGGTACCTATTTGAAGACATAATGATTGAAAACTTCCCCCACCTAGTGAAAGAAATAGACTTACAAGTCCAGGAAGTGCACAGAACCCCAAACAAAAGGAATCCAAAGAGGACCACACCAAGACACATCATAATTAAAATGCCAAGGGCAAAAGACAAAGAGAATCTTGAAAGCAGCAAGAGAAAATCAGTTAATTACCTACAAGGGAATAGTCATAGGAATGTTGATTTGAATTTTACATTCTAAGGCTACGGCTGTGGGTCTGAATGTTACGGAGACCTCTGCATGCATGTAGGTTTCCTGTTAAATACCAGTCCTTGGTCACAGAAGCAGTAGCTGGCAGAGCTCTTAGAAAAACAAAGTCTGGACTCTCCGGGCCAATAGAACCGTCTTAGAAACCCCTGCGTCTTCTCCCATGTGTGCTGTTGATGAGGCAGTGCACCCGCAGAGTCAAAGGCTAAGTATGAGTGGAATTCTCTTCAGCATGGAAAGAACCTTGTAGAAGTGGGACTGATGTCATCACCATTTCACACAAGGAGCATGTCTTTTAAAAAGGTTTTAAAGGGAGAGTCATTCAACTTTTAAAATAGGTAAATGTCAAATTGTACCACTCAGATTCATCCCAAATACCCTATTTTTTCATTCTTCTGTTGCTATCGTACACTCATCGGTCAGTCCGTCTCCACAAAAGCAAAAGCACAGGATTTATTTTTCTTTATTGACCAAACAGTGTCTGTTACACCTGCTAGGACTTAACAAATGTTTAGTTAACAATGACACATCAAATTGACCCAGGATGTTTTATGTTGTGTTTCTCCCATCCCATTATATTTCTACGAAATTGATATTGCGCCAGGGCTCCTGCAATCAGTATTTTGTCAGCTGTGCATAGCTGAGAGTGTTTGCAGAGCGCGCTGCGTAACCTGTCAGTTCTGAGAAGAGTTCTTGACGTGTGCTTTCCTGTTACTTAAAAGCTAATGGAAGCTTAGCAAACGCAGCTTTATCTCATTTTCTGAGGGCAACATGGAAAACGGCCCAAAATACTTTCCAGCAATCAGATCCTGTCTGATTAAAGTGGTGCACTTCTATAAAGAGCAGCTCTGCCTTCTGTGTAATGCAGAGTGAATTAAACTCACTTTTATATCGATGAGATGACAGGAATGGGTTCATTTTGGGTAACCGTTGACAATAAAAGTTTTCACTACTTTTGACATTTTCAGAGGTTTGTTTATTGGTTGGCTTGCTTATTCCCTTTCATGTTTTACACTGTTTATTTTGTGTGTGTAGAAGGGAGGGGGGGGATAAAAGAAATTTCACAAAGAACGGTATGACAGTAGTATCAGAAAAAAAGGGATTTAAAAAAAAAGAAAAGAAAACTTATTCACAGTCCTATCGCACTCCAAAATTTTTTATTTGTCCCTTCTTTATTCCAGAGTCTTTCCTTAAATAGTCAACATTATAGAACGTGTGTCTTTTCCTAAAAACTGAGGTTAAGTGCTTTATCAACTGTGTTTTCTCTAAAGACAAACATGTATCCCTCGTTTTGTTTATCAGCTGTTTCCTAAAGTTGTATATGACATGTCCCGCTTTCACATGATCTTAAATCATTACAAAATTCAGTAAATATTCCTGAGCTTTTTAAAAATTGGTAGTTGTCCCTAAATCTTGAATAAAAACATTTGAATGTTAGAGAAGGTCAGCATTTAGTAATACCCTCAGTTCTCCACAGCTTCACCCCCCATTCACATACACACATACCTTAGTTGACCTCTATTTACTTCAATATTTTACTTAATTAAAAAAAACATATATATATATATATATATATGAGAGAGAGAGAGAGAGAGAGAGAGAGAGAGAGAGAGAGAGAGAGAGAGAAAGAAAGTTAAGAGAGAAAGGGAGATGAAGAGAGAGAAACATCAATGATGAGAGAGAATCATTGATTGGCTGCCTTCTGCACACCCTGTACTGGGGGTTGAACTCACAACCTAGGCCTGTGCCCTGACCAAGAATAAAACCGTGACCTCCTGGTTCATAGGTTGATGCTCAACCACTGAGCCAGGCTGGCTGGGCAGTGCATTTTGACTTCTTGATTCTTTTTTAACCAGTACACTTTCCTACCTCATCTTCTATATGTATTAGAAATAGCTTGTCAAGGGTTAGTTGTAGAAATTAATACACATTTGATTTATAGAAGTATTGATACTCTTTGACTTTGGAAGCCAGAATATTGACAAAATTGGAGATGGCATTCGTCTGTATTTCCAAATTCTCTACCAAGTATTTGTGAAGTGCCATGCTTGGCATTCTGTCAGGATGTGTGGAAGATGCTGATGTGCGAACTTTATTGTTACTGTAAGGAACTTTTCACTCCCCCTTGTTTTTCTTTAGGATTTTTCTCTATATTCTTTGAGCTGCTTTCAATATCAAAGACTTGTGTCGATACAATGATGTGTGAATAATGTTTAGCTAGGTAGTGCTCGCTTCGGCAGCACATATACTAAAATTGGAATGTTTAGCTAGGTAGCTTTATCTACTAGGTTTCTTATGAAATTGGATTATTCATATCCCAAACATCTCTTATGAGCAACTAGTCATTTAGATTTAGTATAGAAAGTTTATCTTATTGTATTTATTATTTTTAAATAAAATAATTTTTAACAATAGAGTTGTTTTAAACAGAGATTAAGGTTGAGAACTCTTTAAATGTTTATTTTCTAGGATAAAAAACCTCTTAAGTTCTTTGGAGAAGATTACTCATGAGCTAAGGTTATTGATAATGAATGTCATGAGATTGAAGGGGTTGGCATTCGACCTGTAGTTCAGTACAAGTGGCAAACTTGAATTTGAACTTCCAAAAATAAATACAGTTGATTTTATGCACCAATATAAGCTGCATATATTATTATATTCCCTATTCCTTAGTTATTTCCTAGTCTGCTGAGTTATATGTCTCTGTAGACAAGGCCATTTAGAGCTTTTTAATTTTTATACTTCTCTTGCACATAAATTGTACATATTCGTTGGAGATGAATTAGAAATACACATTAGGAATATAATGAATATTATATGAAATACACAGAAGTAAAACTTAGCCCACCACCCAAGGATCACTAATGTAAATATTTGGGTAGAGTTTGCTTTACTAGTAGCCTTTTTGCTGTAATAGGTGCATTTTTTTTTTCCTTACCAATACTTTGGGTAAGAATCCATACTTTGTTCTATAAGCTGATAATATTTTTTTCAGTGCTGGGTTTTTTGGGCCTGTTTGGGATGAGGATGGGTAGGAGGTATGGAATGAGACTTGCTATCTACTTTATTCCTTGCATTTCAAAAGAACACATACAACTTTGGGTTAGTGTGTTTATTTAGAAATCTCAAGTAACTATAAATAAGAATGTGTATTTCACTACAAATTCATACGTAAAGCAAAGTAGGATAGCAGTTTTAGTTAGAAAAATCCAAGCATGTTTTTGGAGGAAATGTTTTTTTCTTCTAATAGGTTCAAATGACTCCACATAAAAACACACAAAATGGAACAGAATGAAATGAAAACAGAGTAGCTAAAACACATATTAGAAATGCATGTTCATATCACGAAGACACATTTGCTAAAGCTGTAGGATACGTAATGACGGTGCATTTACCTGCCTTTCCCGTAGCTGGCCTGCAAGTCCCCTCAAGCTGGAGACCATATCTATGTACCACCCATTCTACCTTTACTCTTAGCATGATTCCTGGCAGATAGTAACACCTGCAAAACATGAGTTGAATGAATGACTGAAGGGAAAAAAAAAAAAAAAAAGGGGGAGAACCAAAAAGATGATGTCATTCACCCCCTTCCTTGTAGTGAAGACCAGTTAACTGTCTTACGGAAAACAGATTTATCAGCATATGTTTAAAAATTGTAGCAACAAAAATGACAAATCTTTTTTAATCACTCCGGGCTCCTATTCCTTTGCCATTGTCTCAGCCCCTTATAAAAGGGCATGTCTGAGTGAACTCTTAAGAAATTCACTGCTGTGGCTTATGAAGCCCTTCTGAGGGTTCTAGCAACAAGTCAATAGGGGAAATAATGAACAACATAAACTGATGAACAAAAACAGACCCAGAGACAGGGAAGCATCGATCAGACTGTCGGACCTCAGAGGGAAGGACCAAAGGACTTGTGTGCATGTATATAAGACTAACCAATGGTCACGGACATCAGGGGGGTGGGGGCATGCGTGGGGAGGGGTGGGGGATGGGAATGGGGGGATGAGGACAAATATGTGATACCTTGATCAATAAAGAAATTAAGAAAAAATACCACAAGTCAGCAAAAACAAAAATCCAGGTGCCATAACTGAGCTGAGAAGCTGGGCCTTGGATTGGAGGGATGATGATTCCAGACCATCCTCTAATGCCCTCTCCCCTCTCTCTCCCTCAGGTTCACCTTTTCACCATGATCCCCTGCAGAGCAGCGCTCTCTTTTGCCCGATGTCTGATCCGGAGAAAGATCGTCGTCATGGACGGCCTAGAAGATTCCAAATTAAGCCGTTGCTTATCCACCATGGACCTCATTGCCCTGGGGGTCGGGAGCACCCTCGGTGCCGGGGTGTACGTCCTGGCTGGGGAGGTGGCCAAGTCGGATTCAGGCCCCAGCATCGTCCTCTCCTTCCTCATCGCTGCCCTGGCTTCGGTGATGGCTGGCCTCTGCTACGCTGAGTTTGGGGCCCGAGTTCCCAAGACGGGGTCCGCGTATCTGTACACGTACGTCACCGTTGGAGAGCTGTGGGCCTTCATCACCGGCTGGAACCTCATTTTGTCCTATGTGATAGGTAGGTTTCCAAACATCCGTCTGATGGCGTGGCGGGTAGCATAGCTCTCCCGAGCCCGAGGCCTTAGGGCTCCCCTGTAGGTCTGAGTTGGTTAATGACCATGGTCTTGAGTGAGAATCACATGATCCCTGAGTGCCTCCTTTTTCTCATCTCTTTAGTGTCTCTCCTCCTCACTGCACAGCTGGGCGATTCTGCCTCATCTCTGAATACACCACTTAGTGGATTTATAAAACTCTTTTAAAAAAATATAGCTCTTTAGCCAAAATCGGTTCGGCTCAGTGGATAGAGCATCAGCCTGTGGACTGAAGGGTCCCAGGTTCGATTCTGGTCAAGGGCATGTACCTTGGTTGTGGGCACATCTCCAGTAGGGGGCGTGTAGGAGGCAGCTGAATTGATGTTTCTCTCTCATTGATGTTTCTAACTCTCTATCCCTCTCCCTTCCTTTCTGTAAAAAAATCAATTAAAAAAACATATATATATATATCTTTAATGCAAATAAAGATATCTGATGTATTTTAACATTTGATTACTAGGTTATAATTGTAATATTATAAAGTAACTAGAGGCCCATTGCATAAAGATTCATGCAAGAATAGGCCTTCCTTCCCCTGTCTTCGCTCACAGCCACCCAGGAAGCTGCAAATCCTGGCTCCCAGCTGCCCAGCAGCCTAAAGTCTTGGCTCTCCCAGCCGCCCAGGAGCCTGCAGTCTTAGCTTCCACCTGCAGCACTGCTTCTGTAGCTCCCTCAGTTCTCCCTTCCCCCTCCTTCCTCCATCTCCCTCATAGCAGGCATCCTGCTCCACCTGGGTGCTCCATGCCTGTGTATGCAAATTAACCCTCCATCTTTGTTGGGTTAATTTGAATACTCACTCCTGATTGGCTGATGGGCTTCACAGAGTTATGGTCAATTTGCATCTTCCTCTTTTATTAGTGTAGATTGTATGTGGGATGAAAATGGCCAGGTCAGTCTGAACTAACCCATGTGTCTCCTAGAATAGAGTAGCAATTGATGTCATGTTGATTTTCGCTCAGTGACCGTATGTTCTCTGAATGTCCTTGTGTTTTGGAAGGTACATCGAGTGTTGCAAGAGCTTGGAGTGGCACCTTTGATGAACTTCTGAACAAACAGATTGGCCAGTTTTTCAGGACATACTTCAATATCAATTATACTGGCCTTGCAGAGTATCCGGACTTCTTTGCTGTCTTCCTCATATTGCTTCTATCAGGTAAGAAAACTAGTGACATCCTCTCTACATTGAGCTATACTCATTATCCCAGCAAAATTGGGGTCTGCGTTGCCAAGAGCAGGCAGATTATTTCTACACTTAGATTATCATTCTAGATCTGTGGGCCTGGCTAGCATCCCATGTCATCTTAGGTGATAGGCATGCTTCCGAGAGACATCTGAATCGCGTTTGAGTGGTAGAAATAGCACTTGGAATGCACTAAATACTAGCTGGAAGACCATCAAATTTATAACACTCATTGGAGAGTTACAGAAATGGCAATGAAGTCTCAGTAAGGAAGAATGTATAATATTTGGCATTATTTCATCTTGTTATTTACAATTGAGGATATTTACAAGCATATGCCATTATCTATATATTGTAGGCATCTGATGGGTTCTTTTTTCAGGGGTGTTTTTTGTTTGTTTTGATTTTTTTTGTTTTTTGTTTTTTTTCCTGTTATTTTTTTGGTGTAGACATCATATAGGCAAATATACTAGCTAGTAGGATTCTTTTTGTTTTCACCAGCACTGTAGCATGGTGGTTTAGAAAGGCACAAGGAATAGGGTCCGAGTAGCCAGGTTTTTCCTCCTATTCTACCACTTAGACTTAGAGTCTTTTGAACATTGAGTGACTTCATTTTCCCATGATTCAGTTTGCTCATCCATAGATATCAGTGTCTCTCTTGTACAGGCTTCTTGCTTGGTACCTAGTAAGCACTTAGACCGAAGGCGGATTTGTTTTATAGGCATAGTTAATCCCTGCTGTCTCCTTATAGTTATTTGTTTTTAACTATTTGAATATTTTCTATTTTGATTATAATCCCTACCTGCAGTCCTGCTAAAGCCCATCAAGGATTTCACTAAGAATAAAGTCCACCTTTTTTTTTCCATTTCTTACTTGATATACACGGGTAATCAGCCCCTTGCTTTCCTAGCCAACCTTATCATCAACTCTGTTCTTCCTTGGTTGCAAACATTCTATAACAAATGTTTACTTGTAAAGTTATATATAGTCTTTAAGATAGTTTTACCTTTTAAAAGTTGGTTGTTAATGAAATGTTTTGTAAAGGGGCATGAACAAAAATGATAGATCTCTAATATTTGGCATTTTGCTCTAATATCAAGAAAAATCACTTCTTTTTTAACAGGTGATAGATTTTGTTTTGGTTTCTAAACAGCCTAGCTAACATGAAATTAGTTAGATCATATTTTATTTAGGGATGGTTTCAATGAACTTAAAGTATTCAACTGTAATCTCAAAACAATAAGAAGCATGTCGCTGTGACACAGGTAGGATCACTTAATTCCACAGCAAGACTCAGGCCTTGGCTTGTGTCTTTTGTTGAGTTCTTGGCCATCATGTCTCTACTTTAAATAGAGGCTAAGCTTACAAGCTAACATTGTTCTTAGAATCTTTGAAGATCAAAACCTCCTATTACAAATCTTTATTCGGAGTGTGATACTAAATACCTTGGCAACTGAAGCTGTTATTTCTTAAGGGCGCAAGGGAAGTGTATGCAGTATTTGGATGAGATATTTATTGCTCTCTAATCTGGAGATGGGGATCTCAGAATAGAAAGGTCACGTGGGGTATTGGGAAGCTTTCCTAGGGCATGGCAGTGGCTTTGCTGCTTTGCAGTGTATATAGTGGCATAGAGGATAGTGTGTATTTCCTAGGTGAGTAGTCGACAAACTCATTAGTCTACAGAACCAAATATCAATAGTACAACAATTGAAATTTCTTTTGAGAGCCAAATTTTTAAAACTTTTTAAAAATATATTTTATTGATTTTTTTTTTTTAGAGAGAGGGATAGAGAGAAACACTTATGAGTGAGAATCATCTATCAGCTGCCTCTTGCACACCCCCTACTGGGGATATGCCCGCAACCAACGTACATGCCCTTGACTGGAATCGAACCTGGGACCTCTCAGTGTGCAGGCCAAGGCTCTATCCACTGAACCAAACCAGTTTTGGCTAAACTTAAACTTCTAACACCACTTCAAAACAGATCCACCCAGCCTGTGGTATTTTGTGGAAAAGCCACACTCAAGGGGCCAAAGAGCCGCATGTGGCTCGCGAGCTGCAGTTTGCCGACCACTGTCCTAGATGTACAGTGGTTCCTGAGCCCCCAGGGAGTTACAGAGACATAGTTCTACTGACTATACAATTTTCCTTTATGTTGTTAATGTGGCTTCATTAGTGTACATTCTGGGAATTATAAAGGAAGAAGAATGAAATTTGGCTTCCCTCATCTCTACTTGTAGAGTTGTGCTTATGAGGTCAGGGGTGTGGAGATGAGAAAGAAGCAAGTAAACATAGGGCTAGTCCTTTCATCACAATTATTTCCTCAATAGTGAAAAATAAATTTTATTTGATTATACTTATTCATATCTATATAAGGTGGATTAAAAATATAAATATAATCATAAAATACTAAAAGAACACAAAGGTGAATGTGTGGGGGATTAGTAGTAGGGAAAAATCTATAGGTAGAAACTAAAAAGGAAAACTATATTCTAAAACATTAGTATTTAAAAATAAGCTGGGGAAAAAATGAGGTAATACACAATAGACAGAGAGGTTATAGCATTATTGTTATATAAATACATCTTATAAATCAATATGAACAAGAATAGCCTAACAGAAAAAAATGTGAGCAATTTAAAGTGAGCCAAACATTATGGAGAATATTTTGATAATATGAGCCAAAAGCCTTGTATAAAAGTACATGACCTTGCTACAGTATTAACTTTAAAAAAAAATGATTGTCAAGAAATAATTAGGAAGTATAAAAGATATTTATGTCAATACTGTTTATAGTAGTAAGAAGCTAAAGTGGCCAAGCTGTCTGTAAATAAGAGATAAAAGTGCAGTGTCTCCATATAGAGGGAGAGTATATGGCCATGAGAAATATATTTGTTGCCGAAACCGGTTTGGCTCAGTGGTAGAGCGTCGGTCTGCGGACTGAAAGGTCCCGGGTTCGATTCTGGTCAAGGGCATGTACCTTGGTTGTGGGCACATCCCCAATAGGGGGTGTGCAAGAGGCAGCTGATCGATGATTCTTTCTCATCATTGATGTTTCTGATCTCTCTTTCCCTCTTCCTTCCTCTCTGAAATCAATGAAAATACATTTTTTTAAATGTATCTGTTGACATGGAGGGGTGTGTGTGTGTGCACGCGCACACGGATTCGCGCACACGCACAAAATTGTAGTCAGGAGATTAAACTTGATTTTATTTCCTTTTATATGTTGTCTGTGTCTTCGAATTACTTGATAGAAAATTGATTACTTTTATAATCAGAATATGAAATAAAACTGTAAAGATGAGAATCAACCTAACTTATCTTTTTGGCATGACAATTAAATAATTATTTTTATATGTAGTAAATATGAGGCAGACATATGCTTGAGCTTTTACCTTCAAAATTTTGCAGCTTAATTAACCTTGGAAAGGCTTTAGATCAGCATTTTATGAAAACTAAGTTACTTTACCTCTAGCTACCCATGGGTAGCAATAGCCAAGGTGATGAGATTTGTCTGTTTCTAGGCTGGTATGGTGTCTGGTAGCTGTGAGCACATCTGCCGTCTGGTTGGTTGGATTCAGAGGTGCTGTGTCTCAGTTAGGCCAGTGAGGAAGAACTCACAACAGAAAGGGACAAATAGGACTTACATACCTATGTAAGTGTGTGGATGCTGGCGAAATAACATCCTAAAACCTGTAACTGCCTCACAAAGCCGTTGCCTTTCCTACAGCTTAGGGCAGACTCAAAACACCTTTTCTTTCTCCATAGGCCTGCTATCTTTTGGAGTAAAAGAGTCTGCCTGGGTGAACAAAATCTTCACAGCCGTCAACATCCTGGTCCTTCTCTTTGTTATGATTGCTGGGTTTGTGAAAGGAAACGTGGCAAACTGGAAGATTAGTGAAGAATTTCTCAAGAATATATCAGCAACCGCCAGGTAAAATATTTGGATTTTCCCCTCCTCTTGTTCTCTTTTTCTTGGGTGTTGTAGTTTTTGTTGTTGTTGTTGTTTTGTTTGTTTGTTTGTTTGTTTGTTTTTTAATTTACTCACTTGTGTCTTATTTATGTTACCTTTTTTCTCGAACAATGGTTCTCAAACATTTTGCTTTGGAGACCTTTCTGAGGGTCTGTTCTATTCCAAGACTCTCCCTCCTGCTCACTGCCCCTCTCCCCCCTCCCTCCTCCCTGCAGACATGAATGCATAGGTGTGCTCACCATTGAGCTACCGTGGAAGCCATGCAGCTGCTGGTTCTCACGCTCTGCTCCAGGTTTAGGGGAAGGAAAAGGGAGACTCTGACCATTGGACAAATGCTTTTATTTTCTCCCAAAGGTCTGCTACCGCTACATAACAGGGAGTATTTTTGAGTCATTCATCCTTCATCCTTTAGTTCGCCTGTTGGGACCACCATTTGGTATCATTGCATTTTTCCAGCCTTGTAGTGAATTTCAGGCCTTGTTTTTTGGAGAATGTTATTAGTTGCATAAGCAGACTTGACCTTGCATTTCACGTTAAATGTGATGGTCTCAAAAATTAAATAAATAATAGTATAGAAAAGGTTTTATCCTAAGGTTTACTTAATCATAATTCTCATTTGTGCGTGTAAAATAAGATTACAAAAATATTGGTTATACACATTTGTAGTACCTTAATCAATAAAAAAAAAAAATACCTACTATACAGAGTGAGGTATATCTACCTTTATCTTTTTTGTTTGTTTGTTTGTTTTGGTTTTTAAATATATATTTTATTTATTTTTTACAGAGAGGAAAGGAGAGGGATAGAGAGTTAGAAACATCAATGAGAGAGAAACATCGATTCAGCTGCCTCCTGCACACTCCCTACTGGGGATGTGCCCATAACCAACATACATGCCCTTGACTGGAATCGAACCTGGGACCCTTGAGTCTGCAGGCCAATGCTCTATCCACTGAGCCAAACCAGTTAGAGCTCTACCTGTGTTTCTTTACATGAGTTGTTAGGCACTCTGATGATGAAGCAAAAAATTCTATCCTCTGGTTTTATACATTTTTTAACATGCTAGGACATGTTCAACTGTAGTATTGTTAACCAAGCCGAGAGAATTCTATTTCACCTTTGTAGTAAAGTTTTCACTGCTGCCCAACTGTCCATGAGAAGAGGAAGTGTCCTGCCTTTCTTTCAGATCAGGGTCTTTGCTCTCAAGATCCTGCCTGGCTATGAATTCCATCCCGGGGAGGTCTGGGCCTCGGCTCCTGCTGTCAGTCGGCCTCTGACCAAGATCAGTGTTGGTACCCCGAGAGGATGCTGTTGTTGGGGCAGCACCGTGCTCTCTAGGACAGAGTCAGAGAATCAGGGTTTGCTCTCAGTGTATCCGCTTCACAGCCTCCTGCGGACGTGGATTCAGTCGCATCGCCAGCACCAGTGTCCTATGAAAATGACTTTCCGACGTGTGTTCTCTCCCTTAGAGAGCCGCCTTCCGAAAACGGAACAAGTCTCTACGGGGCCGGTGGCTTCATGCCGTACGGCATCGCGGGGACGTTGGCCGGGGCTGCCACCTGCTTTTATGCCTTTGTGGGATTTGACTGCATTGCAACAACTGGTAAGAGCAGAGTCCTGGCTCCAGGTAGAAGGGAAGGGGTGTCTTTGTACCACATGAGTGCCTGTGGGTGGCAGCAGAGGGTCTAGGAAGGAGAATGGGATTTAGACCCCCAGTTGTGACACCTGCTGTATATGACAAAAAGGAACTGTATGAAACAACCTGAGCTTTGGTGAAATTGGGAGAGTGGTACCTACCCCTCAGATGTTATGAAGGTTACCAAAGATAGATATAGATATAGATATAGATATAGATATAGATATAGATATAGATATAGATATAGATATAGATATAGATATAGATATAGATATAGATATATTGAGAGCATACATATAAAAACATTTTGCAAGCTGCCCAATACTTTATAAATGTTAGTCATAATTACTATCCTCAACCTTCTATCTTGACATGTTATCACAGTGAGTAACCAATGATAATCACACTCTTAAATGATCTCTTCTCTATTAGGACAAAATATTGTGATAATTCTCTCCTCTTAATCTTCTACAAGGAAATCATCATGCCAGAATCACCCTCCAAGTGTCTCTTCTGGGTCCATATTTTTTGCATGGTTTGTAATCTATAGTGTGTTGGATGCTTCAAATGCCAAGTCTTGGAAGGACCCAAAGTGTACTATTGATATTTTCTATTGAAACTACAATAGAGTTTGATATAAAGTAGTTGAACTAGGTAAAAGTTTATCTGAAACTTTCCTACTTAAGAGCCTACAGAATGACATGACAGGCATTTAATCCCTGTGGGTGAATCGTTTTCAAAATGGATTAAGACTGCCTTCCTACCACTAACCATTTAATAGTGCTGGTATGCCATGTTTTGTCTTTCTGGAATTGGATTTTTATTCAATAGCCGAGTACCCTCTAGGGGAGAGAGGATTTTGTGTAGAATAGGCGGATCAAGCTAAGAACGCAGGAGGGCCAGAAGCAGAGCAGAACGAGGAAAACGCATGGCTCACCTATTCATGTTTTATTCAACCCTCGAACCTCTTATGTTTCCTCAGGAGAAGAGGTCCGGAACCCTCAGAAAGCTATTCCTATCGGGATTGTGACTTCCCTGCTGGTTTGCTTTATGGCCTATTTTGGGGTCTCTGCCGCTTTAACACTTATGATGCCGTACTACCTCCTCGATGAGAAGAGCCCCCTTCCTGTAGCGTTTGAGTACGTGGGCTGGGGTCCCGCCAAATACGTCGTGGCCGCGGGCTCCCTCTGCGCGTTGTCAGCAAGGTACGTTTGGGTTTCTGCAAAGTGCAGTCCCTGTTTAAGAATTCCTTCTGTGTATTTTAAAAATAATCCCGACTTCAGGAACATATCATGCAGTTATGTATTCTCGGAATAGTATCCCCGGAATTGCTATCTTTATCTTAAGTGATAAAGTCTTTTTCCTCCATCAGTCTAGAGTCAGTTTCTCAAGATAATGATGGTGGTTCAGCAGAAATACAATACTGCATGGGGACAGGCATCCACATGCATGTACCTATGTGTCACACCTGTTCATACACGTGTGTATCATCAAACTTTAGGATGCTTAAACTACTGTGTATCCATGCTGGCCCCGACAATTGAAACCCTAGGTACAGACTTGACATTGTCTTTTAAAGTAACCACAAGTCCATGGGCATGGAAGCCATAAGCTGTGGCCTTGTTAAATGTAATGTGCTTTTTATTGGGAAACACTGAGACGTTTCCACTTAGCACTGATCAAAAGGGAACTTGGTCCGAAGAAAGAAATGACCTATCTCAGATCCATGGTGGAAATTCGTATAACATCTATGCAAAAACGAAAGGGTAGTTGAATCTCAAGTGCTTGCATTTTCAGTAGCTGCTTGTTTTAACACTTCAGAATTGATTTCCCAGGTTTCCTGACTACTCATATTTTACATTGTGATCATAAGATATTTAATTCTCGTTTTAAACTGTGCTGTGTAGTAGAGCATTCTCACAAAGAGACAATGGATCTCTGCCTGATTACTAATTTTTTAAAGTAAAAATAATTAAAGTCTGATATTGGATGAAGAAATATTTCATATAATTTATCAGCCTACTCTTTTTTTTCTCCTCAAATTTTATTTTATTTTCTATTCAAGATAATGTGAAGTAGCGATTAGAAATGACTCCCATTGGTTTCTTAGCCATCTGTTAACAATAAGGCTTATTCTGAATAGTTTCAAATAGTTTCAAAAATCTGAACTGTGGTGCTATCTTACCAACCAGTCTTAAAGGAGACGGACCCAAATTCACTGTGGCCAGCCTCAACCCAGCTTTATTAAACATAAAGAAGATGGATTTTTAAAAATAAGACATTTTACTCATTTTCTCTTAAGTGGTTCTTTTTCACCACCAAGCCATATATGGAATGGTACTGCCAGTAAACAGACAGGTTTTTCTGAAGTATCTAAAGTTTTCTTAAACTTTTAATCATGCCTATATCTATGTACTAATTTTACAGTGAGTTGATTTTTTAAAAATCTTGATTATCTTGTGATGCTGGGAATTTGATCAAAGATCAGGCTCTATGAGGAAAAACAATGGTAAGATAAATATTGAAAATATGTAATTATTAAATAAATGAAGGGGCTATTCTATGAATCATGTTGTTTAATCTCTTATAAAAAGACATGCCAATTTAGGAATTTTATTTTCCGAGTTATTGCCATTAAAAATGGCTTACTGATACAATTGCTTTGTTTTTCTCGTTACGTCTTAATTTTTTGTTTTAATTCAGTAATAATCATGGGCAGGCACAAATTACTTGTGTTGTTGTTAGTCTGATCATTGTGCTGTGCAGGTCTCTGCAACAGAATAAGTGCACAGTGGTAGACTTCAGCAATATTTGTAAATGCCTAGTCATAATTTTAAGAATAACAAGACTTCACAATCAAAGTTGTGTGCTGCATTTTATACAATTGCTTAATTGGGGAATTGGGGTGTAATCATGCATGAACATGTTTGCATTCTGCATGTGTTTGCTTTCCATTCAGTCTTCTTGGATGCATTTTCCCAATGCCTCGTGTAATCTATGCTATGGCGGAGGATGGGTTGCTTTTCAAATGTCTAGCTCAAATCAATTCCAAAACGAAGACACCAATAATTGCTACTTTATCATCGGGTGCGGTGGCAGGTGAGAGATAGTTAACTTTTATTAAGAAAAAGGGGTGGGGGAAGGTGTCATTTTTTTCATCAAGGATTCTGAAAAAGTATGGAAACTTAGGTCATTTTCTGTTTTGATTCACATGAAGATGAATAACTTGTTTGCAAATGTTTCCTGTATTGAAATATTTTTGACAATATACATGAGTGTGTCCAGTCTATACTTGTATCTACCCTGTCTAGAAAAATGCGTGTAATAACTCACATGGATTATGAATTTTTCTGTTCTAGTCTTCTGGGCTCTATGTTCCCTTTACCCCGAATTCTGTTTGCCATGGCCCGGGATGGCTTACTCTTTAGATTTCTTGCCAAACTGAGTAAGAGGCAGTCACCAGTTGCTGCCACACTGACCGCAGGGGTCATTTCTGGTAAGCTTTCCAAACACAGGCTTCTTCCGTGTTGGACTTGAACGTTTTGTGCTCATGCATGGACTTACAAGGAGGGTCTGCTTGCTGTGCATGTAAGTTACGGACAAAATCACTGAGAAATGATGGTATGGGCATTGGGAAGACATCTGAAAATCGTGGTGGCAGCGGTTTTCTGAAATTCATTCATAATCGACTCTTGGGATTTTTTGTTTTTTGTGTTTTTTTTTTTGTTTGTTTTTTTTTTTGCCATTTTGTTATTTTAACCTGTGGGGCTTCTAACAAATATGCAAAGGGTTATAATGGTTGTTCACCAAATGTGAGGTATTAAATGCTTTTCAGATTGATCGGCACATAAAACTATATCACTGACTCACAGAATTTTAATTAAAGGATGATTACTTAATTTTGAACATATTGATTAAAAATAATTATGTAGTATTTCCTGTTTGTCCAGGATTTAAGCTGAATATTGGTAAAGGAACGTAGGGTTTTTGAAAAGCTAAAGCTCACCCATTCTTTTTAAAATATATATATTTTCTTAACTTTTCCCAGAGAGGAAGGGACAGGGATAGAGAATTAGAAACATGGATGAGAGAGGAAACATCCATCAGGTGCCTCTACTAGGGATGTGCCCGCAACCAAGGTACATGCCCTTGACTAGAATCGAACCTGGGACCCTTGAGTCCGCAGGCCAGTGCTCTATCCACTGAGCCAAACCGATTAGGGCTCACCCATTCTTAATTAAGCATAAGGAATGTCCAAGATGACTGGTACGTTGCCGTGGTAGTCACTGCTGTTAGAATGGCAGGCGACTCACTTCCTGGGCCATCACTGTTCTTTTGGTCTCTAAATTCCATGAGGAACCCATTTCTCCTTTCCACAGTTTTGGTTCCTACTTCATGTGCAAGAACCCCAGAAGCTTACCTTTTGGCATATCATGATAGTCATGACAAAAGCCTGTGGCCAGATTTTATTGCAGAAATGTTCAGATAGTCTACAGATCATGACAGTGGCCTTACAGGTCCTATTACAAGAAGCAAGAGAGAGAGTCTGGCAAGCTTTATGGATAAAATGATAGACTGTCCAGGTGTTGTAGAAATCCAAACCAAAAATGATCATTTTGTTGAGGCTCCATATTGTGGGGAAGTTAGGGTAGGGAATGCTCGTGTGTAATTTTGTGTGAAATGGGTTGTTTTTTCAAAGACAAAGTATTTGTCTAAAGAGCTTCACTTTGTATGTATTTTTTTTTTCATGGGTTTGGCACTTCATTAGGCATACATTGGAAGGTTGAGTCACTTCTTTTCTGATCTCTGCACACCATAAATGAAAGTTGTACTAGATAATCTGCAGCCCATTTTATTATTAAGCGGTGCCTTATGATATTGTAGTTTAAAATAATGGCAAAGGATCACACATTTTATTAACTCCATAAAAACTTATCTTTTTCTAGCAAAACTTTGCCCAGTTATAGTCAGAATTTTATATATTACAGATATACTGTATATTCAGAATTTAAAAAAAAATATTCTTCTTCCTTCCTTAATTTGGCAGTATACAAGGTATTAAAATTATTCATTAAAAGAAGATAATTGTGACAAAAGGCTTTTTTTCAATATTCTTATTTCATACTCCCATCTTACTGTGCTTGATTTTTAATTAGATCAGATTGCTTGTAGGGTTAATTAATTATGTCCTTTTATCTTGGCCATCTTATGTTGGCTAGCTGTGATTCTTACCAACACATTGAGGCCAATATTTTTTGAAGTAATCAAAATAGATGGTTTTTAATAATCAAAGTTGTAGCTATCAATCTGATAACTGAGAGGTTTTAAAGTTTTGTTAGCAGTTTATATGATCCAGAAAACATCCTATTAATTGTGAGAAATATAATTTATATACCTTGTTCAACTTTTTATTGGTACTAAAACAACAACAAAAATGTCAGTCAGTTATCAGCTTTATGGAATTTTATCCGAGGCCTTTTCCTTCACCATCCTTTTCGTTCCTCCATAGCGGTGATGGCGTTTCTTTTTGACCTGAAGGCACTCGTGGACATGATGTCCATCGGCACTCTCCTGGCCTACTCTCTGGTCGCAGCCTGCGTGCTCATCCTCAGGTGAGTCGTCCTTGCTGTGAAAATGTTCTGGAGGGTGTGGAAATAAAGTGAGAGCTCACCATCCCTGCTTCCTAGGAGTTAGCAGTCTCAGAGTGAGAGGCTATGGGCATACAACATCAATATAAAGTATTGGTCCTTAGCCAAGAATCAAATACGATTGAAAGTTAGCAAGAGTTGGGTTGGCCCAATTCTATGTGAATGGCAGGTTTCTATCTATATATATATAAAGGCCCAAGTGACCAAACAACCAAACAACTGGTTAACCGGTCACTATAAAGCACACTGACCACTGGGGGGCAGACGCTCAATGCTAGAGTGTCCCCTACTGGTCAGTGCGTTCCCACAGCCAACTTCCCATGGCCCCTCTCCCCCGCTGGCTGGCCAACCTCCCACAGCCCCTCCCCGCTGGCTGGCCAACCTCCCACAGCCCCTCCCCATGGCCGGCCAGCCTCCTGAGCCCCTTCCCCCGCCCAACCTCTGGCCGCCCCGATCAGCCCCAATCACTGGCCAGGCCGAGGGACCCCACCTGTGCATGAATTCGTGCACTGAGCCTCTAGTAATGTGTAAAGACACTTAAAAATACTATACTTCACTGATACTTACCCAGAGTTTCTGTGCTGTTTTCGTGAACATCTCCTTGGAGCATAGATATTTTGGTAATAATCATCCTGTTATCACAGTTGCCTCATTTGAAACTGTTAACTCTCTTTTGCATCTAATAAATAACTAATTCAGTGGCCATCAAAGGAAATTCAGAGTAGCTGCAGATATACTGAGCGGGATTGTGTTCTGACTCCACACACTCAGGGGCTGCACCAGCTGAGGCACTGTCCCATGTCTTGCTGAGAGTCCCAGGTGTCATTGGGACCAAGTGTCTCTTTGAGAATCAAGACACCCACATTTGTTTGGGGACAGGTATCAGCCCAGTCTGTCGTACGAGCAGCCCAGATATTCTCCTGAGAAAGAAGCTCTGGAGTCGTGTGCCGGGGTGGACTCGGAAAGCGCGTCTCAGATCACCATGCTGCAGGAGCAGGGCTTCAGCCTGCAGACCCTCTTCAGCCCCTCGGCTCTGCCCACAAAGCAGTCCTCTTCTCTCGTGAGCTTCCTGGTAGGATTCCTGGGTAAGTCCTCTCCACTGTGCGCATTAGGAAGGGCCAGCAGGAGTGTGTAGAATAGATGGAGCAAGTGGGATGTGAGAGAGGACACACGGCCTCATGCTACTCTAGACCTGATTAGCAACTTCCTGGAACCCTGAGATGTCCATCTAGTGGGTCACTAGACTTGAGATCAACTTCTTATATCTTTGTTTTTAGTTTATTCATTTCAGAGAGGAAGGGAGAGGAAGAGAGAGAGATAGAAACATCAATGCTGAGAGAGAATCATTGATCAGCTTGCCTTCTGTACGCCCCCTACTGGGGATCAAGCCCACAACCCGGGCATATGCCCTGACTGGGAATTGAACCGTGACCTCCTGGTTCACAGGTTGACACTCAAATACTGAGTCATGCCAGCCAGGTGAGAGATCATCCTTATACTAGCAGGATAAATGTATCATGTTCTGGTAAATGAAGAAGACAGGAAGACATTCATAAGGCGAGAGGGTTAGAAGGAGAACATTGGTACATGTCATTCACTGTCAGGGAGCTTCCTGGGTGAAAGCATTTGGCCAAGCACACCTGCCAGTCACGGAACTGAGACCCAGGAGACTAGGAGGCAATTTAGGAAAGCTTGTCTGCTTACCACCCGTTACGCGATCTTTCATATTTTCAGTGACATTTATTGAGCATCATCTGTGTGTCTGTAACTTTGCCTGGGCGCTTGGGATATTAAGAGAGATGGGTGCACTCACTGGGGTTTTACAACACAGGACTATTTGATGGCAAGCTAGGGGAGGTCCATCGGAGGGACCCCTAATGCAGACTCGATGGTCAAAGACAGGGTCAGTGGGGGATGAAGGTGCGCTGTCACTCTCTGAAATAGGGAGAAAAGTTGCAGGTCCTATTGTATTTGTTTACATTAGCAAGTAGTGTTTGCAACAGCTGAACGTGGACAGAGGGCAATATCCACCCATGACAGTGGCCCCTCCGCCCACGTGGTAGAGTCTGAGACAGTGGCAGACGAGATGGCACCTGGGCAGGCAAAGCAGGAGGTCATGCTGGCGGGAGCTTGACTTCCAAGGGGGAGATAGTCAGAGGAAGTGAGTAGCATGGCTCTAGTCAGTGAGATCAGCCCTCGCTGCCCACGAGTAAAAGGGAGAATCCGAGTCTTTGGACAAGTAGACATGCAAAAAGCTCACTTTCTTACCAAAATGGGCTGTTGGACTGGAGGCGTCTGAAGGAAGCGTGGCCTCTGACTGTGTTGCACACACGTGTCTCCTCTGCAGCCTTCCTCGTGTTGGGCCTGAGCATCCTGACCACGTACGGAGTCCAGGCCATCGCCCGGCAGGAAGCGTGGAGCGTGGTTCTGCTGGTGCTGTTCCTCGTCCTCTGCATCGCCATCGTCTTCACCATCTGGAGGCAGCCCCAGAACCAGCACAAAGTGTCCTTCATGGTACGTGCGCATCCTCCCCGGGACATCCATGGAGTTGTTTCTCTTTAAAAACAAAACAAAACACCTGCGATGACGTTAACCAATGAACCAGAGTGTCACGACTCTTTGAGATGTTCCTTTTGGTCCCACGTATTCTGCCTGCGTTGGCTATGTTACTGCCATTCTTGAAAATTTGAGCATGCTCCTCTCACAATATGATACATGATAGTAACCAGATTTCTTGTCCAGTTATCTGCAGTATCATAGGAGTATGTAGAATGTCTTAGGTTAGAAAGTCAGGACCGTCTCAGGAAGATTCTTCCCACCAAAACGCCCTTCCGCTGCACCTGAGAGGAGTCTGTCCCACTCGAACGAAGAGCAGGTTCCAGCGGGGAGGGTCCCCTGAGCCTCTGTGTGCCTCCAGGGGGACAGAGGCACGTCCTGTGGGTGTCCAAGGGGAACCTGCAGCCTCGGACTGAGCCACGTTGTGAAGCCAGTGCATCTTGGTGGCGGGGCAGGTGTTCGCAGGCTGAACCCGTCCTCTGTTGCTGGGGTCGCGGGAAACAGTGTCACATGGGATGCTCCCCACAGTGCTCTTCAGAAGAGTGCGTTTTCACTCAGGTTGTCCTTTTGTAAAATGGTTAACTTCCACAGAATGCAAGTGTGTGCTGTGCCAAATCAGTGACCACCATGTGGGAATGTGCTTTCCACATTCAGGGTGTATTTACGAAGCTGTTTTCCCCCTTAGGTCCCATTCTTACCGTTTCTGCCAGCGTTCAGCATCCTGGTGAACATTTACTTGATGGTCCAGCTGAGCGCGGAGACTTGGATCAGATTTAGCATTTGGATGGCGCTTGGTAGGTCTTTTAATATCCTGGCTTTCTCACCTCTGGCTCTCTCTTTCTGATTTCTGCACTGTGATTGGAGTAATGCTTCCAAATCCCGCCCCCTCCCACTCCCCAACTCTTCCTTTCCCGATTTTGAGAACATCGGAGTGCTTGCTTTTCCATAGGTTTTCAGATGCCTTTTAAAAATCCAAGTCTCCAAGAAACCCCGTAGAACCCAGAGGTTCTATTTCCTCCAACTTGATAGATAAGAAAAATGAAGCCCCAAAATGTCAAAGAAACGAATTTACAAATGGCAGCCAAAGACTCTGATCCCAAAGTGAGCCAGCAGATTTTTGGAGACATTTGATTGAGCTAGTAGCAATACATATATATGCACACGTGTGTGTGTGTGTGTAAATATTTTTTCTGAAATCTGAATTTCTTATTAGAGCCTTGTAGGGGATTTAACATTAAATAACACGAGTTAGCGTATTTATATCTATACCCTTTGCTTTTCATTTTGACTTCTTCAGTTTCCTATGTGAAGATTGAGGTAGAAATTAAGAGTTTGTTGTAACTCAATCACTGAGCACCGACTACCTTCAGAATGTGAGCTGAAGTAGAGAGAAATGAGAGTTAAATTTGCATTGGTTTTGGTGGCCCGGGGAGGTTGGGTTGATGCTTGTTGATAGTCCTCCCATTGGCTCAATAAGAATGAATGTAACTCACTTCGATGTATGTATATATGTATTTGCTTTGGCTGTAAATTAACTTATTCTCAGTTTCAGCCACCAACCCCACTTAAATTGATGGGAGAATGAACCTCAATCCATATTGCCCATCCTCCCCCCCCCCCGCCCCCCACCACACACACACACTCATACACTTGATCTTGGATAAAGGCATGAATTACAGAGTCAGATTCTCTGGATTTGAATCCAGCTCTGCCATTGATTAGCTGGGTGACCTAGTTTTGTGCTTTAGTTTCGGTAAAATGGTCATGTTAGTACCTTTATCTGAGGACAGGAAGGCTGGATCCTTGGACCTCTGAGGACAGGAGAGGAAATAGAATCATTCCTGATAATTGGACATGCCCAAATGCTAATTGGCAACAACCCAAAACTCTCAACCAATCCTTAAAAACAACAACACTAAAGCCCAGCAGAATGTCCAAATATAAAAGTAATAAACTATTTTTTTGAGGATCCTTAAAACATTATCTTCTAATCCCCGTCAGCATAGCTGTTAACAGTTGCTCTGGACACAGAACTTGGCCTCTCCTGGTGACACAGAAAGAGAAGGCAAAAGGCCCTATTGAGTTTGTATTAAAATTGTCCATGCTCCAACGGCCGTTTTCTGACACACCGAAACACTGATGCTTTGTTCTCTAAAAGGTTTCCTGATTTACTTCACCTACGGCATTCGACACAGCCTGGAGGGGAATTCAAGGGATGAAGATGAAGACGAAGATTCGTATTCAGACAACATCGACGCAGCAACCGAAGAGAAAGCTGCCATTCAAGCAAATGACCATCACCAAAGAAACCTCAGTTTACCTTACATACTCAGTGAAAAGACGAGCGAATGCTAACGCTTGTAGGAGCTGAACAGGTCGTAGTCTTCATGTATGTATCCTGAGCAAACCAGCAGGATGTCATCCTTATGCTAGCTTGTCATGGGTTTGCTGCAGACATAGTTCACCCTAATTTATACTCACCTGGACAGCACCTCCTCAAGTGGTGGATTTTACCTGGGAAAACCTGAGCTCTCTCCTAGTGCTATCTCCCAGTGTGTGTGTGTGTGTGTCTGTGTTGGGGAATACCTATGGTAAAAGTTTTTGGTGTTTTACTGTTACCGCTTGACATTTTTCCAGTGTTTGTCATGATTTGGGGTCACATGGTACACATACTGAAATAGAGGTAATCACTGAATCAAAGAGTGTGTTGTATGTGCTTGGTATTGTTAGGGAGAGGACTGTTGCTTTTCCTTGTTAGATTTCATTAATGTCAACTTAGAACAGGCTTCACCTGCAGCTCCGCATCTCGGAGTCTGTCAGTGGTCAGGAGTAAGAGGAGGGGATAAGACACGAGCCATTTCTGTAACTTACAAATGCCAGCCGTGGGTTTAGTGCAGAGTTTTCTTCTACAAGGTGTGACAGTTTGCTAAAACTTTAGCCAGCAGGAGGATTTGCACCCGCCATGCTACACAGGGCGCACCCTCTTGACCTGGGGTCCTCTTTGAGAACAGTGGTCCTTACATATCAGGCCTTCACCTGCTGGGACTTTGGGACAGGCAGTGTGATCTACATAAGACCTTTGTGTGGAAGGTGGTCCCTGTGGCCAGAAAGCTGATGTAAGGGGCCGTGGTGAGGATATGTTTGAGAATCAGAGTTAGATACTAGCGTGGGTCAGTAGATACCAAGCATCCTTGTTTTAAAAGTCACTTAAAATAAAGCCAATAGGGTGTCCCGGATCATACTGCTGGTGGAATGGTTCATACTTCCTTCCATTATTTAAAAACTAATCAGTGAGGTGTTTTAACCCTATCAGACAAAGAATCCACTCCTCTCTTTCTACCATTATTTTGTCTTGTCCTAGAAATGAGGGCTACAGTAGCAAATTCTATCTATACTACATGCAAAAGAGGGGGAAAATGAAGGGATAAAAGCAGGAAAATTCCTCTGTCCTAATTTTAAAGTGCCTATTCAGATATTAAAGAGCATTTGGCTCGATTCAAGGGGTTCAGATCTAATTTGGCTGTTGGTTCAGAAACATTTAGAGATGTTTTTCATCCCCCACCCCTTAATAGTTTAGCACTTTTAATTTTATTTATTTTTAAATGGCCACACTAAAGCCACTCATACAAACACCAGTATTCTATCACTGGTTGGCCAATAAAATATTTTGGTTAAGTACATGATCGTTTAAAACTTTAAGTTAAAAAATTAACCAAATTAAAGCTATAGAAGACAGTAACCTTTCTATGAGTAAATAACTTGCTTTTATGTGTAAGATCTCTAAATACTATATTTTACTTTGTAGGGTTCTCTACTAGTAGACTATTTACCTGCAGTGTGATTTGCTTCTTATGAATTGTTTTTCTTACAAATCATTAAATGGTCGACCTGATGAAAGCAAAGGCTCAATACACGTATAATGGGTTGCATTCCCGGGACAAACACTGTCAGGCACACCAGGTGGCCAGCCGCATCCAGAAACAAGGAGCACGTTTCCGACAGCCCTTCTAAGAGATCAGTGATTGTATTGACACCATTAAAAAGCCAGTCGTGACCGAATATCTAACCAAGACTTTATTGTGATTAAATACCAAACAAACAGGTAGGAAGCCTGGGTTCTGGGCTGCTAGACTCCTGGTGTCCCTGACATAGAACTCAGTACTGACATTCCACAATCCCCGGGGTGTTAATGGCAAAATCTGCGGCTGAAAATTCTCTTCCAAGCTGCGTGTTTCACTGGCGAGGCAAGGGGAAAGGAGACTTGTAAGGACTGCAGGGATGCTCGGAGACCTTTGCTATCCTAACCATATTGCGAGAACCCCTTTGATCCCAATCTAGAATAGGCCCTTCACCCAGAGAACATGAGGTACTTCTTATATGAATATTTGACTCTTTCATTGTAACAAAATCAATACACTTGTTTAGAACGTGAGAGGCAGCTAAAACTATTATGCCCCGTATGTTCATTTAGGAGCAGAATTCAGTTAAAAATTATTTTTTCCACATTGAAACACATTGCAAACACAAATGTCTATGAAAAGATGCTTTGTCAGTGACTGTGTTTTTTTTTTCCTTCAAATGTGTGTATGTGTGAGTGTGTATATATTATATATATGTATATGTATATGTATGTCTGTGTATTTCAAATGTGAGTATAAAAGTCAGTTGGGTTTGTGATGGGCTTTGGAAATAATGCCATTGTGTGGATAAAAAAAACATACAACTGATGTAGAGAAAATATAATGTTTTGTATTGATGGGTATGCTTATATAAAAGTTTAGGTTTTAAAGTATTTTGAAATGCACAGTGATTTTATATATATGATATTTTCTATAGATAGATTCCTTAAGAAAGCTTTATTTATAATGTTCCTGAGATGAAATCACTAAACTCTAGTTCATTGCAACAGGTGCTTTCTAATCTGAAATGGAGGAGGGTAGGAATATTAGGGTGTTGCTGTTTACTTGTCTCTGTGGTACCTTTTCTTCATCTCTGTCCTGGTACATCTAGGAACAGCTGGTACTGCCAGCGCTGGTACCACTTCCCCGTTCCTCCACTTGAACTATAACCTTTTGAAAAAGTGTTGTTTTTCCTTTCTTAGGATTACCAAAGCGTGTTGTATAGATTTCACTAGTCATTAATCACACTTCTGTGAAAGCCTCTCCAGAAATTGCAAAGTACATATACACATCCTCTTAACTGTGATTGCATAAACAGCTTGCTACCTTTTTTTTTTTTTTTTTTTGCACTAGGAAATAGGTTCTCTTGATACAGAACTTTAAAGGACTGCATTGCACATCTTAGGGTATGAAAATGAAGATCAGTGTGGGTTTGAAGGGGTGGGATTGGTGGTTTTATTTTACTAGTGCCAAAATGCAGTAGTGTCTTCTCTGTACATTTTCTACTTTCATTCTCTAACATGTCCTGAACCATCAAGGGGAAATTAGTCAAGTTCAGGCAGGACATGGTACCAGCACAGTCATGTTAAATGTAGATTTGGAAGTATGGTTGCTTGCCTTGTTTTGCTGTGTTGGGTTCCCCCCCAACCCTCGCCTCCCCCTCCCTCCCCCCCGTATAATTATGTTTCAACATTTTTAAATGGCTTTCTGTGTTCTGGGTTGTAAGAGGCCTTCTCTGTTATTGCTGTGGTTGTCGGTTTTTGTAATATTCATTATTGTTTATATATGTGCACAGTTTAGTCTTACTGATTGCATTCGGCTATGGCTCAACCCAGCTGGCAACCCTGTCTGCTGGAGCCCTCTCCTTAGCTCTTACTCACCGTGGCTGAAGCCACTGCCACCATCTCTGGCCTTGAAGCGCCGTCACTGACCACTGGGGCCTCGTGGGGGTCACGAACCAGGACCCTGGGCTGGGTCCAGGATCATGCAGCCTGCAGAGTATGGGCAGCCGTAGCTCCCTGTTGGGTGGGGTCTTGGCATGTGAGGGGAGGATATGAAGTCAAAGCCTTCACCTGAATGTAAGGTAGTGTGCGGTCCATAATATCAGTTCCAAATACCCCATGAGTGCCTCAAGGTGGATGATCAAGAAGGAGCCTCTGTGCCTCATGGGAAGGATAGCTGCTTCCTGAAACTGGCACCATAGGGCGTGTCTTACTGCAATCCCCCCGACTGCCACTGACCGCCTTGGGTGGAAGTGCATGGGCCACGGTCAGGTTGATGAAGAACCTTGTATGACCAACAGGGTGGTGTGTATCTCTGGCCCATGCCTGGTTGACAGGCTCTTCATCTTTGTGTCCAGCAGGGGGTGCCCAGTTATTTTCTTGCTTTCTCTTCTTACCATTGTACTCAATAGAAACTGTAGGTGGGGGCCCAAAACCCTACAGAAATTCTGTGTCTGTAGAAACCAACAGATGCATCGGACTTGTGAGAATGGAAAGGTGTGTTTGTTGGGTAGGTAATTTTAAATGTAAATGTTTCTAATGATAATCAGCGTTCCTTTTTACTTACAAAGTTGGATTATTTTTTAGAATTTGTAATAAATGAAAACTGTTGCTGCTTTACCACTGTAAAATAGGCTTTCTAATGTGACCATGTATTTTTTAAATAAATTTTAATACAACTTGTAATAATGTCGTATGCATGTGTATCACACAAACTGGTCTACATTTCACACTTACCTAATTTAAAATGCTTTTAAATATATATATATATATGTATACCTTTATTTATTTCAGAGAGGAAGGGAGAGGGACAGAGATAGAAATATCAATGATGAGAGAGAATTATCGATCACTGACTCCTGCTGGGGATCACCATCTGGGCATGTGCCCCTGACTGGAACCGAACTGGGACCCTTCAGTTCACAGGCTGATGCCTCATCCACTGGCCCAAACCAGCCAGGGCAAAACAAAACAAAACAAAACAAAAAGCAGCCAGGGCTTTTTAAAAATTTGGGAGTCTTTAAATCTCCAAAATATAACACAATCTAAATGGAAATAATGACATTGTTAATACTACTCAGTGGGAAGCCTTGGGCTTACTGTGAGACTAGCCAGGTCCTATGAGATAAAGGAAATGCCTTCACATGTGCTCAATCCTAATGGCACCTTCCAAAAAAGGTCAGTTGCTCCTGAAACATAACACCCCGGGATCCACCATTTCACTGCCCTTTGATGGACCAGTCTCTCTGACATGGCTTTTGTGTGTGAGGGGCTCCTCAATGTGTTCCTGACTGAATCATAGCCTCGAATAATCGGTGATCAGTTCTCTGTAACTAAGACATTTTTTTACAGTGCAGTGGATGAATATTTACCAACTTCAACCCTATTTACCCTCTTGGAGGGAGGAATCAAAGGGTTTTCTGGCAATGCTCACATTATCCCCCAGACCTCTTCAATAAGCTTGTTTAATTTTGAAATGTCTCTGTGTATACACTGAGTGGCTATTTATTCTAGTACACTGGAGGAAACACGATGTTGGTTTAAAAATTTTAAGATCAAGTTAAGCCAGCATTGAAAACCAAGCTGAAACGGCAAAGTATTTGCCAAGGAGGAGCTGAAAACCTTTACCTGATTGGTGGCTTGATGAGGGTTGTGACCAGGTTTGGTTGTACCACCTCTGCTTTGGAACCAGGGGAGCATGTGTGTGTGTGTGTGTGTGCGGGGGGGGGGGGGGGGGGGGGGGGGGGGGGGAGTGATGCCCCAGGAGCTGTGTCTGGGCTGTGGGGCCAGCCAGGAACTCCCCAAAACAGGACACCTCCTTCGTGTTCTTTAAAGAAGGCTACAGGCTAAGGGCTCCAGGCCCACGGAGTGCTCATGGTGCGGACTAGTATCCATCATCTGTGTGGACAGAGTGATTCACTTCATTCATTCCATGAAATGTCTCAAAAAAAATTCTCAAAGACATCCCAAACTAACCCATAATCACATGATCTCAAAGCAGGGTCAATGAATGGAGAAACTATCTAGAAATAAACTCAGCTCCATGCTGATTTACTTACTTAAAACATTCTAGTAACAGATTCATAGCCAACTCTTAAGTACTTGGAGGTCCCAGACATGGCAGATGTCACCGATCCTGGGTAAAGCATCCTGTGACTCCACTGAGATGGGAGTGGTTCACACGAAGAGAACTCAAGGCAGACTCCACTACCCAGGAGCATGATACCATCCAGGCGGGCTCCTATCTCTGACACGGAACAAGCTCATTCCTGACTCCTGGCCCCTTAATCCACAGGTACCACAGCCCTGTTGTGGTCCCAATGGCGGAGTCTCCAGGGCTCCATTATCTCCCTCAGCCCTGCTCGTGCAAAGATGGAGGGTAGAGATCAGACCTAAAGTCCGATATTCTTTTTTTAAATATATATATAGTATTGATTTTTTTAAATAGTATATTTTATTGATATTTTACAGAGAGGAAGGGAGAGGCACAGAGAGTTAGAAACATCGATGAGAGAGAATCATCCATCAGCTGCCTCTTGTACACCCCCTACTGGGGATGTGCCCGCAACCAAGATACATGCCCTTGACTGGAATCGAACCCAGGACATTTCAGTCTGCAATCCGACGCTCTATCCATTGAGCCAAACTGGTTTCGGCTAGTATTGATTTTTTACAGAGAGCAAGGGAGAGGGATAGAGAGTTAGAAACATCAATGAGAGAGAATCATTGATCAGCTGCCTCTTGCACACCCCCTACTGGAGATTTGCCTACAACAAGGTACATGCCCTTGACCAGAATCAAACCTGGGACCTTTCAGTCCGCAGGCTGACTCTCTATCCACTGAGCCAAACCGGTTTTGGCAATATTCTTGAAACTGAAACACTGACTTCAATTGGCATGAAGTTGTAAATGACAAATAGAAAATGCTTTTCAAAAAGTGAGCATTGAAAAAGCAAACAGACAAAGCAAAGAGGCACCGATATTCAAAGGAGGAAGGAAGGCCCATTAAGTAAAGAAAAGCCAAAGGAAGGAGAGGATTGAGGCTTTGTCATTTGCACTTTAGCTTAGAGTCGTCCTTCCCTGCGGCATTTAGAGCTGTGACTAACGGACAGTGGATACATCAGCACAGCGTGCTATCTCTGCTCCCGACCCCGGACCACGTTCACTTCTCCCTTCCATTTGCTGATTTTGTTCCTCCCTCCGCCATTCTCCTCTCCAGCTCTGCCTCTGCCGGGTCAATGCCTGGGGCTGCTGGCTGAGCTCTCAGAGGAAGGCGCTGACACAGTCGCTCAGAGGATGCTGTGCCCTCCCGAGTGTGATGGTGCTTCCCTGGACACTGCTTTTATTTTACTTTTTTTAATTTTTAAATATATATATTTTTAAGTTGATTTCAGGGAGTAAGGGGGAGAGAGAGAGAGAGAGAGAGAGAGAGAGAGAGAGAGAGAGAGAGAGACATCAATGATGAAAGAGAATCATGGATCGGCTGCCTTCTGTACGCCCCCTACTGGGGATCAAGCCCATAACCCGTGCATGTGCCCTGACGGGGAATCGAACCGTGACCTCCTGGTTCACAGGTTGGTGCTCAGCCACTCAGGCCTGGCTGGACACTGTTTTTAAAGGGCTGTTTTCTGTGTTCTCAGCCTCCTCTCCTCCCGCATCAGGAAGTAGCTGATGATTCAGTAGCTGATAAGCCTGAGCCACATTGTGCGTCATGAGGTCAGAGGTGAATGGATTATAAACACTAAAAGCTAATTAACATAAGAGTGAGGTGGACGGAACAGCCAGACAATAGGAAATAAGGGAAGGAAACATGGGTTTGCAGGTAATATGGTCATTGATCCAAAAACCCAAGACATCAACTAAAAACTACATGGACAACAGTATGGTGGTTACCTGAGAGAAGGAGGGTGGGAGGGTGTAAAAGGTCAAGGGGTCAGATATATGGTAATAAAAGATTTGACTTGAGGTAATAAATACACAAAGTAATACACAGATGGTAAGACATAGAATTGTATACTTGAAACCTATGCAATTTTATTTACTAATCTCACCCCAATACATTTAATAGAAAAGACGCAAACATACAAAAGTGAATCATGCCTTGGGAATTCAGGCTTCGAACTGGACTTGACTTTGACCTGTAAGCCACGGCTTGTTGTAATTGGCCAGTGTTATGGCCATGGTTGGAGAAAGAATGGGAAAGATCCACATAAACTGAGATTCTCATAATAAAATTCCTTCTCACCCTGGAGACAAAGCACACGGGTTTTCACAGTAAAATCAAACCCATAAAAAATACAAGCCTGGCAGCTTTATTTTTCCGATTCAGAGTCATCGTGAAGTCATCTCTCTCAAGGGTAACAAGCCTTGGAAAGCCCCCGTGTTTCTGGCAGCCCTCGCTCCCATCCCGTCCTGGTTCCCAAGTGATGGCTACAGGCTTTTTGGCCTAAACCACAGATGTGCATTCTCAAAGCCCCGAAGGCTTTAACTCAGAGATTACATGTCAGCAGGGCCCTAGCCGGTTTGGCTCAGTGGATAAAGCATCGGCCTGTGCACTGAAGGGTCCCAGATTCGATTCTGGCCAGGGGCACACCATGCCCGGAGGGGACCGTGCAGGAGGCAGCTGATCAATGATTCTCTCTCATCAATGATGTTTCTATCTCTCTCTCTCTCCCTCTCCCTTCCTCTCTGAAATCAATAAGAATATATTTATTTTTTTAAAAAATGTCAGCAGGGTGGTTGGTGTCTTTTGGGGCCTCTCTCCTGGGCTTGTAGATGGTCAACTTCCCCCTGAATCTACACATGAGCTTCCCTCTGCGCCTGCGTCTGTGTGTCCACTTCCCCTTCTTACTGGCAAGGATGCCAGTCAGATCAGGTTTGTGCCAAACCCAATAACCTAATCCTGACTTAATTCCCTCCTCAGAGACCCTAGCTCCAAATGTGGTCACATTCTGAAGTACTGGAGGTTAGGATGTCATCATTTTGAAAAAAATTGGGGCCCTAACCGGTTTGGCTCCGTGGATGGAGCGTCTGCCTGCGGACAGAAAGGTCCCAGGTTTGATTCCGGTCAAGGGCATGTACCTTGGTTGTGGGCACATCCCTGGTGGGAGGTGTGCAGGAGGCCACTGATTGATGTTTCTCTCTCATTGATGGTTCTGACTCTATCCCTCTCCCTTCCTCTCTGTAAAAAAAGTCAATAAAGTATATATTTTTTTTTTTTTAAATTGAGGGTAGGGGTGAGGAGGGCCCAATTCAGTCCATGGCACACACCTAGGATAGTTTAGGTACCTACACTTAGCTAACGTGTACGTGATAGAGAAGTAAAATTCCATTTTTTTTTTCTTTCTGTATGCCACTTACCCAATTTGAAAGTGTACTTAGGGGGTTGTGGCCACATCCCAGTCAGGAAAGTTAGCGGCTGGAGCCTGTGCAGGGAGGCCGGGATGACGGCAAATGGGCGCAGACCGGATGTGCCGTCAGCAGGCGGGCCAGGCAGGACCTGGCCACTGTGAGGCCTGGTGAACCCCGGCTCTGACTCAGAGCGACGGGTGTCAACCTCACAGGGGCAGGATGGGACGGGTCTCCGTGGGGAGCAGCCCCTGGGTGTGCTCCCCGGATGCGACAGGCCGTGCCCCCAGGCCGTGCTCAGGCCTCAGAAGCAGGAGTGCCGTCTCCACCTTTATAGCCACGGCAATGAGCACACGGTAAGCCTCCAGGGAGCTCCGGGGAGCTGTGGGAGGGAGGGGCGGAGAGGTCCTGGCAGAGGCAGGGCCTGACCCTGGGACTTCCATCCTCCTGGCTGGAAGCCAGGCCCAGAGCTGACGATGGAAGGTGGATTCCTGGTTCCTCCTGCGTGATATGGCTGCTAAGCACGTGTCTGTCACACACGCAGCGCTGCCTCTCCCGCTGTCTGACCTGCTGGCTGAGAGCTGTAATGTGTGAGTGGGCCAGCGGGATGGGGGCCCTGCTCCCCACCTGGCCCTCCCCCTCCCCCCCCTCCCCCCACCGGCTGCCCACACCTGCAGCTGCTTTCCCCTGATGAGTCCCAAGCTCAGAAACCTGGGCTGGACCCCCGCCCAGGCACAGGGGTGCCTAATCCTTTACCCCCACAGCCCCGTGCCCAGCCCCATGCCCAGCCCCGTGCCCAGCCCCAGGCTGCTGGTTCCATCTCATGTCCCTCTGTTCCCACGCTCTTCCCATCTGGCCGGTTCTTGCTTGCAGCGTGCCTTAACCCCCCTGACCTTGGCCGACACTGGACAGCATGGGCTCCTTAGGGCCCTCCCCCTGCTCCCTGCTCTCCAAGTCCAAGGCCTCCCCTCCCTGGTTTCCTCCTCCTCCAGCCTGCACTCCCCTCTCGGAACCACTCCGCTATTCACAGCGTGGACCGCACCATTTAGCAGTTAATTATATTTCAGTTTGCAACGCCTTTTTCTCTCCACCTGAGTCACCTCCTCAGGACGCTTTGTGATGAGCCCAGGAGGGTCTGGGGGGGAGAATTTGCTAGAACTGAGGAGCTTTCTGGAAGAAAGCAGAGTCTACATGTAGAGGTCACCAGAGTGCTGGTCTTGACTAGGAAGCATAGTGTATGGTGGGGTGTGTGTGTGTGTGTGTGTGTTGTGTGTACAGGAGGTGGTGGGGTGTGTGTTGGTCCAGGGCAGCCTGATGGCTCACTGTGGGCACAGGTGGCGATGGGCTCGCTGTGGGCACAGGTGGCGATGGGCTCGCTGTGGGCACAGGTGGCGATGGGCTCGCTGTGGGCACAGGTGGCGATGGGCTCGCTGTGGGCACAGGTGGCGATGGGCTCGCTGTGGGCACAGGTGGCGAAGGGCTCGCTGTGGGCACAGGTGGCGAAGGGCTCGCTGTGGGCACAGGTGGCGATGGGCTCGCTGTGGGCACAGGTGACGATGGGCTCGCTGTGGGCACAGGTGGCGAAGGGCTCGCTGTGGGCACAGCTGGCGATGGGCTCGCTGTGGGCACAGCTGGGCGATGGGCTCGCTGTGGGCACAGGTGACGAAGGGCTCGCTGTGGGCACAGGTGGCGATGGGCTCGCTGTGGGCACAGGTGACGATGGGCTCGCTGTGGGCACAGGTGGCGATGGGCTCGCTGTGGGCACAGGTGGCGATGGGCTCGCTGTGGGCACAGGTGGGGCACAGCTGGCGTGGCTCGCTGTGGGCACAGGTGACGAAGGGCTCGCTGTGGGCACAGGTGGCGATGGGCTCGCTGTGGGCACAGGTGGCGAAGGGCTCGCTGTGGGCACAGGTGGCGAAGGGCTCGCTGTGGGCACAGCTGGGGCGATGGGCTCGCTGTGGGCACAGCTGGGGCGATGGGCTCGCTGTGGGCACGGGTGGCGATGGGCTCGCTGTGGGCACAGGTGACGGGCCTCTGGGAAGGAGGTGTTGGGGCACTTTTTACACAGCTTCGGGCCCCGCCTGAGCGGTGGGACATTTGGACCTTCCTGGCCGCAGGTACCGTGCCAGCCCCCGCATGGCCCTGCCTTCCCGGGGAGCCTGGTGACGGGACCGGAGCAGCTGGGATGGGCCCCCGCCGCCCTCCCGCCGCCCCGCGCCGCGCCGCCAGGGGGCAGGAGAGCTGCAGGCGGAATTTTAAAAATCCCCACACTTTCCCCCAAACCGCGTCCCTCCTCAGGAACCCGAACCGCCGGCGGGGCGTCCCCGGCGCCCGCCCCGCCCGCCCCGCCCGCCCCGCGCTGCGCCCGGACCCGCGCCCGCGCCTCCGCCGGCCCCTGCGCCGAAGATGAAGGTGTGGCTGCTGCTGGCGCTCCTGCTGGTGCTCCAGGCGCTGGAGGATGGTGAGTGCCCGGCGGCGGGACGGTCCGAGCCCCGGCGTTAGCGGGACCCCACCCTGGTCCCCCCGGCGCTCCCCGACTCCTGGCCTTGGAGGCTCGGCCCGGCGCCGCCCTGCCACGTGCACCTGCCCTCCTGGCGGGGTCTCCCTCCCCCTCCCGCCCTCTCCCACCTCCCCCACCTCCCCCGGTGGCAGCCACCCCGACCCTCCGGGCCCCGCCCGAACGCCCCGCGCTCCCGGGAAGCCCAGCCCGTGTCCACGTGTCGGGCTGGGAGGTGGGGGGACCCGCAGCCGCTTCCATCTCCCAGTCCAGCATCAGCTCCGGGATCTGCTCTGAGGGCGGGGGCCACCTGAGCCAGGCGGGGGCCGGTGCTTCTGCAACTCTCCAAGTCCTTCTCCTCCTCTTCCTCCTCCTCCTCCTCCTCCTCCTCCTCCTCCTCCTCCAGGCCGCAGCCCTGGGTTTGGGTCCTGGGCCATCAGGGGGCTTGCATCCTGCAAGACCTGCCTCAGCCTCACAGCAAATACTTCTTTGGGTTAAACCTCAGCACGAATCCAACCCCCACAGCTGTCCATCACACCCTTATCTGGTGGATGGGGAAAATGCCAGCCTGTCCCAGGCCCATCCTGTTTTAGAGACTCCCAGCCACAAGGTCAGGCTTGATTTTGGGGTGTGTGTGTGTGTGTGTGTGTGTGTGAGTGAATGTGTTGTTTGTGTCTGTGTCTGTCTCCACGGTACTGTCAGCATTCGAGTGCCTCGCTGGCTCCATGCGTTAGTTCAGTGTCGGCAAACTCATGAGCCAACAGAGCCAAATAGCAACAGGACAACGACTGAAATTTCTTTGGAGAGCCAGACTTTTTAAACTTAAACTTCTTCTAACGCCGCGTCTTCCAAATAGACTCGCCCAGGCCGTGGTATTTTGTGGAAGGGCCACACGCAAGGGGCCAACGAGCCGCATGCGGCTCTCGACCTGCAGTTTGCCGACCACGGAGTTAGTTGATCAGTGTTTTGTTGTGCATGGGGGGGGGGGGGCCATCCTGGCATCCGGAACCCGCCCTTGGAATTGCTCAGCCCCGCCCCGTCTTTGCTCAGTTTTGGTTGAAAAGCAGCTTTTGTTGTTATGCAACCTCCCGCCGGAGCCAGCTCAACCTGGCTCACATTTTACCCACCACTCAGCCCTGGCCAGTCCCTCCCTCTCCCATGAAACCAGGAGCGCTGGCCAACAAAATGCCACATCCTCCTCTGCCAAGTCCACGGCGGCTGTGGGACTTGAAGCTGAGCGTGGGGACCCTCAACCCGGAGTCTTGCTGAATAAAACGTAGGGCGTTTTTCTGCCCCGGGAAGCGGCAGGTACTGCTTGCCCGCAGAGGAGCTGGTGTGAGCTCACGAGGTAAAAGGTGACACGAAACCGCTCCTGGCAGGTCCCCATGTGATTGCTAACGGGACGGAAATGCAGTATTTGATATTCTTTTTTTTTTTTTTTTGGATAAGGGCAGGAGATGGCCAGACGAAATAATTCCAAATAACCCACTCGCTTGATTATACAGTTCACCCGAGATGCCTGCCTGAGGCTCAGGAAACGGCGCCAGAGGTTTTTCCGGCCAACGTGTGCCCAAGACCATGAGAACCACTGCATGCTGCCTGAATGAATTAGCATTATTTTAGCTAAATGTCACTCACACACACGCAACAAACATTTGTGAGGCCATCCGAGAGCGTTGAACGCAGACGAAATCCTTCGTAAATAATTGGTACATTTTAGGCATGAGCATAGCCACTGTCTTTGTTTTTAAAGGTTCTGCTTTAAAATATAGAGTGAAGACGATGAATAAAACACTGAGCGCATAATTAGAAACGTAAACCTGCCTCGTTAGATTACATAACAGTTTCCCTAAACCTATTACGGATGCCTCTTCTGGTTTGAGTTATGGTGTGGCTGGCTGGGGCTGGGCACAGGCCAGAGGGCCAGGCTCTGATTGGCAGGTTGGGCTGTGGGGCATGGCCAAGCCCAGACACAAGGCCGTGACTCACCGTATCCCACTGCCTGCCCCCTGTTGCTGATCACGCCCCGGAGAGGCTGATGGATAGAAAAAGGCCTCCCTGTGAGCGTGTGGTGGGTGGATAGCCGCTCTCACCCGACAGCGTGTGCCTGCCTGGTTCTAGAATGCTTTGTAGTTTTGGGAGTAATGTTATTTCTCCTCGTGAAAGTGACGTTCTTTCTCCTCCAGTTCTGAAACGGCAAACATTCCTCTTGAATCATGACAGGGGGTCGTGAAAATAGTTACTAACCAGCCCGAGATCCCACTAGGTCGCCATGGCTTGCAGCACCTGGTTGCCAGGTTTTATATGGAGCACCTGCCACGGTCTTTACTGGTTGGTGCTGCTATTTTTACATTAAAAAAATATAAAGCCACAGGTACTTACCAACTTTTGATCGCCTACATATTTTATCTGATGACAGGAGCAAACGATGAAGCGTAATTGATTTGTGACTGCTGTTTCGCTGACCTGGATCAATGCTGATTTGAACCTGGGTCGCACCTGGGTTCATTTAGGATCCTGTGAAAAGGTCTCTTTCGGGGAGGACTAGAGAGATTTGTTTTGACATGGGGGCAATGCAGCCAGATCTCTAAGGAGAGAAACATTAATGACGATTCTCTATCCGCACCATCATTTTTGTTCTCAGTTTATTCCTTGGAAAGAGAGGGTAACATTTAGTTCAGATTATTTTTTTTTTTATCCTCACCTGAGGACATACTTTTAGCAATAAAGAAAGGGGGAGAGAGGGAGAAAGGAAAAACATCGATGTGAGAGAAACATTACTTGGTTGTCTCCTGTACACACCCAACTGGGGGTCAAACCCACAACCTTGCTGTGTGCCCTGACCGAGAATTGAATCCTCAGCCTTTTGGTGTATGGGACAACACTCTATCTATTCTATGCAGTCAACTGAGCCACCCGGCCAGGGCCAGAAATTCTCACCATGAGAAAAGAATTGTAAACATTTTCATTGTTGGTAAGTGTCAATCACGAATGTTTTGAAGCATGTGGGATTTCGGCCTGTATATTTGACATACAGAATAATCTCTGATTCTTAAACCAGAAAAGAGAGATTTGAGGGCAAGAGAGAGGAGGGAGAGAAGGCCTGGGCATTGAAGGCTTTCCCTGCACAAGGTTGTAGAACCCTCACTCTGGTGCTAATGAGCGAATGGAGAGGAGAGATGGAAAATAAACAAGTAAGGATTACTTTCAGGAAGTGACAAGTGGCACGAAGGACCAACAGACAGGGTGCACACATTTCCTAGGACTGCTGTCACAAAGTGCCACAAACAAGGTGGCTTAAGACAGTGGCCCGCAAACTCATCAGTCCACAGAGCCAAATATCAACAGTGCAATGATGGGAATTTCTTTGGAGAGCCAAATCTTTTCAACTGAAACTTCTAACGCCACTTCTTCAACATAGACTCGCCCAGGCCGTGGCATTTTGTGGAAGAGCCACACTCAAGGGGCCGAAGAGCCGCATGTGGCTCGTGAGCCAGTTTGCTGACCACGGGTCTAGGTGAGAAGAGGCTTGGTCCAGGGTGGTCACGGTGGATGGAGGGAGGAGAGATGGCTTCAGGGTCTATTTTGAAGGCAAAAAGTCCTCTCCCTGAGGATTTGCTGCCGGATTGGACACGACGCAGGGGAGAAATAAATAATCACCCGTGACTCTGAGGTTTTTGTCCTAAGAAAACTGGTGGATAGACTTGCCGTTCACTGATAAAGGGAACTGGGACGGAGGTTCTGGGCGGCATCCAGGGTCAGTGTGGCCATCTGCAACTTGAGCTGCCGCCTGGCTTTCTAAGCGCTGTGCTGAGTAAGCGTTCAGACCTGGAGTTAAAGGCGACATGAGGACAAGGACCAGGCAGCTCTCCGCGTATGAATGCTGGACGCCCGGGGGCCGTGTGAGGCCACTCAGAGAGGGAGTGTCCTTAGCGATGGAGGGGACAGAGCCTCCGGGACTCCAGTCAGGCAGGAAGGGAAGAGGGGGAAGGGCTGCCAAGCTCACTGAGGAATTGTCGGTGATACAGGAGGAACAGCCAGCAGGGCCATGTGCTGGGAGCCAAGCAAATGAAGCTGGTTCTGCTGGAGCGTGATCACTTTCCAGTGTGTACACACATAGGAATAATAACTATACATAATGTTGTATGTTCATCACCTCCATTAAAAGAAAAAAAAAAAGAACAGCTAAAATCGGGTTAGCTCAGTGGTTAGAGTGTTGGTCTGCAGACTGAAAGGTCCCAGGTTCGATTCCGGTCAAGGGCATATACATTGGTTGCGGGCACATCCCCAGAAGGGGGTGTGCAGGAGACAGCGAGTCGATGTTTCTCTCTCATCGATGTTTCTAACTCTCTATCCCTTCCTCTCTGTGGAAAATCAATAAAAAAGAACAGCGATCAACCCTGGTCTAATGGAGATTCTGGAAAAGGATTCATTCGAAGTAAGGTCTTGACCTTGGAACAGAAGCATGAGATTCCTAGACATTGCCTTGTTAAGAAAATGGTACTTTGGGAAATGGTAGGGGGTCGATTTGGAGGGAGGGTTTTAGGAGAGAGAAGGAAGGACAAGCTCTCATCTTTTTTATTTTCTTTATGTTGCATGTCAGTGCCTTCCCGTGGGCTCAGTGCTCCTGTGCGGGTTCAGGGGGAAGGGAAACAGGAGCGTGAGGCATGGCCCTCAGGGTATAACCCCCGAGCTGCTCAGCACGTCTGCAGGGTGCTGGCTTTGATGCTACTCTCAGGGCAGACCCTCCCCCTCACTGCCTGTGGGAGAAAACCCCAAACAGCTACAGGCCTTTGAGGTTAAGGACTGATCTAAAGCGAGGTCAGGGATTCTTCTAATGAATATATTATCTCCTCCTGCCCCACTCTAGATCAGTGTTTCCCAAACTTCCCTCATGATGAGAATCACCTGGTGGAGTTGTTAAACTACAGATCCCTGAATCCCAACTAAGAAGTGCTAAACTAGAATTTTGGGGAACATACAGGTAAAATTGTATTCTCTGTTAGAGCACTAAGTTAAGAATACAATTTTACCTGTATATTCCCAAAAATTCTAGTTTAGCACTTCTTAGTTGGGATTCAGGGATCTGTAGTTTAACAACTCCACCAGGTGATTCTCATCATGAGAGAAGTTTGGGAAACACTCTCCTTTGAGGATGAGAGAGTTAATAGTTTGTTGAACAAGGAAGGGTTCATTGCAACCCCCAGTGCGTGCGGAAGAATCGCCGTGGCGGCCTTTATTCATTCATTCTGGAGCCGGGGCTTTGCCCAGAGTCTCCGCGCTCGGGGAGTCTAATGTGAGCCTTGGGAGAGCATCCCGGCCCTGCCAGGAAGGGTGTGCTCGCTTCCCTGGCATCAGGTTTTGTTTGACTTGGAACTCATTGTCAGAGCCCGAGGCACAGAGACTGAGAAACCGCTAAGACAATGGGGCTGCGCAGGAGGCTGTGCCAACGAAGGGACGAAGGGAAACCGCTGCAGAAGGTTCATCTCTGTGTGAACTGAAAGGTGAGGGCATGACCCAGGGGAGACTCCAGACCTGGGGCCAAAGGGCCTTTGGTAGGTTTGTCACCACCTTCTCGGTGACTCGGGCGAATGACGTGGCCTCTGTGGTCTCAGTGTTCTGCACCCCTAAGCCAGGAAGATAAGAGCTCCGCCGTCTCCATCGCCATGGAGATCACCCTGGAACCTTATCACAGGCTTACAAAACAAGGGGCACTTCATGGGCCCCTACTGGGCCCCGACACTGCTCCCAGTATTTAAAACAGTAACTCATTTATCCCCCCACCAACCCATGAGGTCATCGTCATTGCCATATAGTTCTCCATTTACAGATGAGGACTCTGAGGCAGAGAGAGGCTAAGTAACATCCCAAGATCACACAGCTAGGAGGTGGTAGCCAGGACCTGAAGTCAGTAATGATATTTAATTTTTTTTAAAAATTATTTTACCACCTATTGCTCTATACCAGTGTTTCCCAACCTTCTCTCATGATGAGAATCACCTGGTGGAGCTGTTAAACTACAGATTCCTGAATCCCAACTAAGAAGTGCTAAACTAGAATTTTTGGGAACATATAGGTAAAATTAACTAGAGCACTAAGTTAAGTATACAATTTTACCTATATGTTCCCAAAAATTCTAGTTTAGCACTTCTTAGTTGGGATTCAGGAATCTGTAGTTTAACAGCTCCACCAGGTGATTCTCATCATGAGAGAAGGTTGGGAAACACTGTTTTAGGGTCACTCACCTGACTCCTCTAACTTAGCGTCATCACCATAAGCCACTGACCAATTCCATGGCCAGCCACCTGGGCCAACTGGAATTAGATTGACAGGTGGACCTGTTTGGTCAAAAGGTTAAATTACTTTGCCCCTGGGATAATAGCACTTATTTGGATGCATATTATTCACAGTTAGGTCATCATATGTTCCTGAGCAGGATAGCCACAGGATCTGGCAACTTACAAGTGAGACAAGCTGTGCATGTGCCCTAACTGGGAATTGAACTGTGACCTCCTGGTTCATAGGTGGACCTCAACCACTGAGTCACACTGGCCAGGCTGACTCACCTCGTTTTGTCACCGACCTGGGCCACTGGCATAAGAACTTGTAACACTTGTCTCTTTGCATCTCTTGATCCCAATTTCGACCTTTTTGTACTTTGGACCACTCCAAGCCTTTTGCACACTAAGGTAGCACTGGATAAATGCACCCATCAAAAAAGGAAAAGATTTCCTCCCCACTTCTTCCACTTCTTTTATTTTTTTAAAATATATTTTATTGATTTTTTACAGAGAGGAAGAGAAAGAGATAGAAACATCGATGAGAGAGAAACATCAATCAGCTGCCTCCTGCACACCCCCTACTGGGGATGTGCCTGCATCTAAGGTACATGCTCTTGACCGGAATCAAACCTGGGACCCTTCATTCCTCAGGCCACCACTTTTTTAAACAGATGCCTTGTGATCCCCTCAGTTAGCCATGGTTCCTGTGCTTATCTGGCCAAAATAATCCTGGATGTTTATCCACGTAGAGTGAGTGAGCACTTGGAATGAGGTTCAGAAGATCCGAGTTCTGCTCTCACTTCCTGCCAGGACCAGCGCTGAGTAATTTGTGTAGCTTCTCAGGGCCTCCTCAATGTTTTAATCTACAGCATGTGGACTTGACCTTGGTGACCTCTCGGGGTCCCAGAAGTTTGGACTCTGTGATTCTGTGAGTCTTTGAGCTCCTGCAGGCAGATGTACTGACTACACAGTCTCCTTCTCATCCCGAGGGGGGCACCAGGCGCTGGCTGCTGAGCTGGGGGGCTAGCTGGGATTTCTGGACACGGGTTCAGTACTCATTTCTCACTAAACCGTGTGTTCTGTATGACATTATCAGCCCCCGGCACACAAAGATGCACCGGCCCCGCTGGTCTTGGGTAAATTTCCAAAATCTTCTGAGTGAGCTTGTGGTACCAGTTGTAGACATTTAAACAGTAGATTCAAACTGAACAACGAATGCCTTGCAGGTTCACGTTAACAATTACAAATCAGGCACCAGGCCCTGTGAGTGGCTTCCATCCTGCCATTCCACGGGACCCCTTAGACTAGAAATAGATTCCCTTTCCGTCATGCATTGTTTTAAAGCTAAAGAATGAACCAAGAAAATAGTGATTATGGCTGAAAACAATGTTGATATATGAGGAGTGGGTATTAAAAACTAATCTGGCCAGGCCAGTGTGGCTCAGGGGTCAAGCGTCAACCAGTGAACCAGAAGATCATGGATCAGTTCTGGTTCAGGGCAGATGCCCGGGTAGCGGGGCTCAATCCCCAGTAGGGGGTGTGTAGGAGACAGCTGATCAACCATTCTCTCATCACGGATGTTTCTACCTCTCTCTCCCTCTCCTTTCCTCTCTGAAATCAATAAAAACACAAGTTTGCTTTGTGAAGTGTTCTGTCTTAGGTGTTAAATGCCCTGGGTGTGTTGCTCCTACAGCCCATTGTTCTCACATTTGTACTAGTTGCCGGCCAACACCCTCCCAAGAACAAGCGTCCGAAGGAGCCAGGAGAGAACAGAATCAAGCCCGCCAACAAGAAGGTGAAGCCCAAGATCCCCAAGACGAAGGACAGGGACTCGGCCGATGACCCGGCGCCCAAGAACCAGTCTATCATGGTGCAGATGACGGAGAAGGGGCGCTTCCAGAAGCCGGCCGCCACCCTGAGCCTGGCGGCGGGGCAGACCCTGGAGCTGCGGTGTAAGGGGAGTAAGATCGGATGGAGCTACCCCGCCTACCTGGACACCTTCAAGGACTCCCGCCTCAGGTGAGCATGCGCCTACCTTCTATTTCACTTACCTTGGGCGAAGGGTGTGTTTCGTTCCCTCGGTAAATATTGTGTCATTTCTGACCTTGGCCATTTCACTCTACCAGCTTATAAAAATGGACGCTGGCCATTTCACTCTACCAGCTTAAAAAAGTGGGCAAAGGACATTGACTTTATTTCTTAGACCAGTTCCAAAAAATTACTGCAAATCCTACGAATGGTGGTTAAAACAGTGACGCCTTCTAGGAAGCCATACGACACATAGTTGAAACGGTGATGCATATAGGTATTTAAGAATGCATATTGTAAAAAAAATAATGGATCCGATGCTGTGTGTTACTTTTTTTCAATCGTAATGGAAACAGAAATGAGCTAACAGGACATTCCTAAGAGCAATGTGACTGCATGTTCAACACAGACAAACCCCACCTCCCGCTAGGACACTCCCTCCACTCAGCTGCTCAGCCAGAAACCCAGGACCATCCTTGCCTTGTCCTCTCCTATCACTCCCCACGTCCAGTCAACTGCCACGTTCAGCCAGTTCAGCTTCCTCAGGGCCATAAACCCATCCTCTTGCCATCTCTGGTGTCCCTGCCCCAGTCCCAGCTGGTGACATCCCTCCCCCCAAGACCGCATGCCCCAGTGTGTCCACCCCAACTGCTTGCTGTAACTAAAGCAGTGGTCGGCAAACTCATTAGTCAACAGAGCCAAATATCAACAGTACAACAATTGAGATTTCTTTGGAGAGCCACATTTTTTAAACTTAAACTTCTTCTAACGCCACTTCTTCAAAATAGACTCGCCCAGGCCGTGGCAGTTTGTGGAAGAGCCACACTCAAGGGGCCAAAGAGCCGCATGTGGCTCTCAAGCCCCAGTTTGTGGACCACAGAGCTCAAGTGAAGTTTAAAAAGTGCTCATCTGGTCCTGTCCCTCTCATACTCCTCCCTGGGCGGGTTTCCACTGGGATGGAGTCTGGCCTCCTCACACGACTGCTGAGACCCTCCCTGCTCCCTACAGCCTCTCACCAGTCGCCTCTCATCAGTCACCTTTCGCCTCTCCATTCGTGTCTCTGCTCTCGCTGGCTGGGCTCCTGGGACATCATCAAGTGCTTCGAACACTCGGGCCTTGAAACTTGGCTGTGCCCACGCTCAGCCCCTGTTCACCAGCCAACTTCTGCCTCAGAGTGGCTTTCTCTGGGAAGCCTGTGTCCGGCCTCCCTGGGTTTATTCTCGTGGCCCTGGCATCCTCTTCAGAGAACCCCTTATTCTTATTCCTGCTGCTGCTTTATTTTTCTAACCTGTGTTTTTCACTGGGACTTAGCTGAGTGCTTGGCCTTCAGCTTTATATACTGAATGATGGAATGACAATCTTTCCCCCCTCGTTCTCACACATATACACCTTGGAGACTAAATAAATTAAAATATATGTATAAGTAACATCTCTCTACCTAACCTCTGGCATTCAGACCTCTTTTACATTTTATTCTGAAGTTACTCTTCTGGCTTCATGGTGAATAATAGTGTAGGGTTTTTTCTTAAGGGTTTTATTAAGGGTTACTGTAAGGTTTTTCTATTTGGTTGAAGGAGTGGAGGGGAAAAGAATGAAACAGATTTTCCCATTTTAATCTCCACATTTGAAATAAGTGTGAGTGTGAGTGTGTGTGTGTGTGTGTGTGTCCCTGTCTGTCCATCCCCTTAGAACAAATCTGGAACTGTTTATTGCCACAAACTTTTTAAATGTCTTCATTTACCAAAGCCAAGATTTACACACTTGCAAAACAACAACAGATGGAGTCATTTAAAATTATTCAGGACATTGAGTCTTTGACTTACACAAAGTTCCTAAACCTAGATGATTTAATATTTTCTAGGAGTAGCTTCAAAGTTATGTTGGCCAAAATATGCTTGAAAATCGCTTAAGGACTCAAAGGAAAGGGAGCATGAATCCGAATGGAAAAGAAATATCCATTAGCTGAAAAAGCCACTGTCGCCTTAACATTAAGTAGCATTCATTCAAAGCACAGTTGGGGCTTTATAAGAAAGTAAAGACAGATGTGGGCCCCCAAGGACTCACATACACACACACACACACACACACACACACACACACAAAATGTGGAAAATGTGAAAAACACCTAGTCATAACTCTGTATCAAACAACAACCCCCCAAAAAATCACGATTTATTTGACACCAGAGATTCAACAAATCGAGCCTTGACATCTTTCCCGGAACGCGGGCCTTGGGGTAGAAGAGAAGCATTCATTCGGTGTTTTCCTTTCCTGGGAAAGGAGTTCTTTCCATCGTCCTCACAGTGTGGGGGTTGGAGGCTCCCCAGGTTCACGTCTAACAAAAACTCGGTGGTTGTGGGCCATGTTGGTAGCTTTCTGGAACTAAGTCCCCATGCTACCCTGTTTGTCCAATGGGATCCTCTGACCAGAAGAGGAAGTGTGTTAAGGACCAGAGAGGTCAGGCTGATGCACAGGCAGATTGAAATCCTGTCTTTACCACTAACCAGCAAAGTGGTCTCTGATCAGTCATTTCCAAGGAACCCTGTTTCCTCGTCTGGACTATGGAGATAATAGTACCTGTGGTTAAGTGCTGCCTGGCCCCTGGTAAATGGTCAGTAAATTGTGACTAATGGTTACGAGGCAATGCGTATTTCTCAAACACAGGGGTTCGAAAGACTTTTGGGACATTTCATTCTGACTAGCACTCACATTAAGCAGGGAGTTTTGCACAGCTACGTGGCTTGGAATGTAGAGGATCCAAGAAAGTGTGTACACTTCTCTCCCACTCTTTGTCAGCTGGGACCTGTGCCTATCTTCCTATGTGTAAGCCCCTCCCTAGCCAGTTTGGCTCAGTGGACAGAGCATCGGCCTGGGAATGAAGGGTGTTGAGTTCAGTTCTGTTCAAGGGCACATGCCTGTGTTGCAGGCTTGATCCCCAGTAGGAGGTGTGCAGGAGGCAGCAGATCAGTGATTCTCTCTCATCATTGATGTTTCTATCTCTCCCTCTCCCTTCCTTTCTGAAATCACTAGAAATTTATTATTAAAAGAAAAAAATGGAAGTGTATGGCCCCTGAGGGCAAATACCACATCTGTTTGGTTCCCGGTCAGATTTCTAATACCTGGAACAGTGCAGGGGGCCTGAGGCCGTGCCCCCATTCTGGTGGGGCTTTTCAGGGGACCTCAGCTGCGACCCCCACTTGGCAGAGTTTGATGGGGGATCTCAGGCCACTCCCCCTGCCCTGGCACTGGGCCAGGGGACCTGAGGCTGTGAGACCTGAGGCTGTGCCCCTCTGCCCGGCAGGGCTTGACAGGGACCTCAAGGCGCCCCCCCCCCCCCCCCCCCGCCTGGGCTGGGGGACCTCAGGCTGTGTCCCCGCCCTGGCACTGGGCCAGGGAACCTGAGACCATGCCCCCCCACCTGGCAGGGCTTGACGGGAGTGGTGCCATCTAGGTCTGGATCTAGCCCAATGGGCCAGCTGGGTCTGGGTCTCACGCAATTTCAAGGCACATGTGGGTGGGCGGGAACTTGATTCTGGCTCCCATGGTGCCCCCCAGACTCTGACAGGAGGAAGATTTTCATATACATTTTACTAATTTTCTTTCATCTCTGACACTTCTATTATAAACGGAAAATAGCAATATTAAAATATTTCCTCAAATTAATTCCCTTTTAATGTGCATGAATTTCGTGCACCGGGTCACTAGTAATCACATAACTGCCTTTCTGCACCAAGGCCCTAACCTGACCTCAGTGCTCCACAGAGCACTGAGATCTCTCACAGAACTCACCTGGTGCTGTCATTTTTCTGCCTCAAACCCTTCGGTGGAGCAGTTCTGCTGCCCTTAGAATAAAGTTCAAACTCCTGACATGGGCCCAAGGCCATGCATAGTTCAGCCCCTGCCTTTGCCTTCTGCCCCGTTTCATGTCCACGCACTGGAATAACTGTGCTCCAGCCTGCAGATCCAGGCCTGCCACGCCCTCAGTGAGAGCTCCTTGATCCCGGACCTCACTTCCCCTGGCCCCCGTTACATGCCCTCGCTGCGCACTGATCATCCATGGTGCGATTCCCATTCCCCCCCCTCACTGAATGTTGGAGTCCCTCTGTAGGCGGGAAGCTTGGCAGAGATGTCTGTTTATGCCTTGGTGCTTCCCCAGCACCCAGCACGCTGCAGGTACTCCACTGGTGTTTCAGGAAGAGCGTAGTGCCGGCCACTGAGCCTAGAGTTGGTCTTAAGTCAGGGCCCTGAGGTCATGAGACCTGTGTCTCGGAACTTTAGAGATGAAAGGGACTTTAGTGTGTATCATGCTTACGCCCCTCTTTCTAACAAGTGAGAACACTGAGAATCAGAGGGGATAGACAGCTGGTCCAGAGAGACAGACTGGTGAGGGGCAGCCTGAGTCCTAAACTGTGCCCTCCTGCTCAGGTGCTCCGAGTGTGGCTAGCAGCACAGCACAGACCAAAGGACACGCGTGGCTTAAGGAAGGTAGCAGCTTCAGGGAAGATAGATGTTGTGCCTTGGGTACTAGACTCACAGATCTGATTTCTACAGTTAAGCTTCAAAACAGAGATAAAATTCTTTTCCAGGGAGGTGGGCTGAAAGTGGATTGATTTCAGATGTTTCAGACACTAGTCAGGCGTCTTCAAACTACGGCCCGCGGGCCACATGCGGCCCGCAGAGGAGTCTGATCCGGCCCGCCAGGTTTTTTAGGCAGTGAGCGCAGCCGAGGTGTTACAGTAGGAATTAGTAGTTCGTATAGTCCGGCCCTCCAGCTCTCTGAGGAACCGTGATCTGGCCCCCACTTTAAAAAGTTTGAGGACGCCTGCTAGGTGTTAAAGCATTACCGTGGCCATTGAGAAAGGGGAGCTCTTATAGAAGGCCGTCCGTGATGCCCACCTAGAAGTGAGGCCTGCCTTCTGGTTCTCCAGCCTCATTCTGCGATGCTTTCTTTTGCCGTGGCAGACCTATGTCATTAGATGACCACGAGATGG